TTTTCGCTTGTTACATTTTGTTCTACAAAGGTTCATAGCACTAAAACCTTTAACGAATCAGAAAATGAATTACTAATTAAAAAGTGAATTAAGTTGTGCATATGAGCTTGAATAATCTTGTGTTTTGAGTGTGGACCTTTTGTCTTGGAGACTACGGTTTGAATTCAGACAGTTGCCAAAGAATGGTAATAACTCATTTTTTATGTTGACCAGTGGTTTAAGTACCACTTTGAGTATTAAGATCGCCTGCATAGTAAATAAAAAAAAATAATTCCCTTATACAAGTTAGATATTTTTCTATTATTGTGAAGTTTATCCACCAAAAGTTTTACGATTATTACTGTACATTCGAATCATAGACATGTAAGAAAACACAAACTGTAAACATTTAACATTATCAAATAAAATTTGTCTGTATTTCGCACATTAAATACATTTTTACGAATAATTTCAAGCAGGCGAAGATTAACACGAACCTTTTCCACTTCCATAACAAATTGACGTTTTTGAACGTCAATTCATAATTATTCTCATCAGATACTTGTACAAGCAGTCTTCTAGAATACCAATGACTCGCACAATCTTCAAAATACGTTTCGATTATATGAAAGTGGTTTTACTAACAAATTCTGTTATTTGTTTTAAGGATGTTATCTTGCAAGTTGTGTAAAGATGTTGATTGTGTTAGAGACATGTTATCTTGTTAATGGTTTGTGTATGCCTTTACTAAATATATTTTACTTGAATTAAAATTGTATTCTTAGAAACCGCCATACAGTAAGAACACACCCTTTTATTTTGTAACTAAAATAATAATTAAATAAATAATATAATAGTTTTGTCATTTATATGTTAAACTAAAAAAATATAATACATGTTTAGAACTCCATGCCACTATACTAGTTTTATTTCGTTTATATGATCAATACCTCTTACTTTCCCACAACAGATAAACAATGTTGGTAAACATCAAGTACTTAAAAAACATTTTACTTTTAATGAGAATAGTTATTTGTGCAACTAGTGAGAAAAGTGAGCAATTGACTCACTCGACAGAAATCCTTACTCACGAGCCGTAGGCGAGTGAGGAATGGTTTCTCGAGTGAGGCAATTGTACTTTGAACTCGAGTTGCACATTATACTTTTCCTACAGTTACCATAAAACAAATAAATTTGTCAAGAAACATAACCTATTTTTACACAAAAGTGAACTTTTAATATAAAATTTAATGTGAAGTGACAAATACAACAGTACAACAGCTGACCAGCTGATTTACAGCCAGTGCTGCCAACGTATTTCGCGCGCATACGACGTTGCCTGCATGTTACGCGCTCACTATTTCGTGCCTTCACGTTGCAAATCTGGAGTGAGACAAAGTAATTAGAGTGAGACAATGTTAACATTGTCTCACTGATGAGCGAATTGGCCACTTTGCTTTCTCAAATCAGTGAGAGAACATGTACATTGTTAGGTAACTGTAGGAAATATACTTTATTGATACCTGAAATGTCAGTGGAAGGTCCAAAACTTAACAAACCTGGTTTTTATAATATCAAAGTTAAGTCAATTTTAAGGATGGTAAAGTTTAAATTGAATGACGAATTAGATTTATAGATGATTGATGGATATTTTAGATATTTTAGATGAATGGAGTTACTAAGCCAGAGGGGGTGGAAATTAAACACGTTTAGAATATGTTAATTATTATTTAATCATACCAACTACAATTTAAAATCTCCAATATTGTTATGCAAGCTCAAAATAACATATTATTGATTTTAACCAAAATATTGTAAGAATAATTGAGAATTACAAATCCAGTCATGCACAAAAACATATTGCCTGGACGTGGAGAAATTTTCTGCAATATGTGGATCTATTGACTTTATGCTATTGGTAAACTTATGTAATCTTTGACCTCCATCACGAGTTTTAAGCTGAACTCGTAGTATTAATTCTGCCGTTTTTAACCTACCATATTTATTTAATAAGTTGTTTGGACAAAGAAAAAAAAGTTAAAATAGATTTCATATAGAGTGCTAATTGATAAATATTGAAACAGTTTTTATTTTATTTTACATACTTTGATACTTATGGGATCATAAGATATTTTATGTTTTACTGTATTATGTTTTTAAAGTCGGTAAAGTTTTATGATGAAAAAGGTCGTGGATTAGAAATAAAACTTGTCAGTTGTATTTTTACTTGAAATTTGGCTAACTACAACTCTAAAATGGAAATAGAATATCTAATTACAGCATTGGTTATTTGAAGCATATACTCCTGACATAGCCATATATACAACTAACATTAATTCATAACCTAAATCTCTTTCTCCCAAATAAAAAAAATAATAATGTATTACTAACAATAGAACAACGTTTTATCAATCAATATCATCTAGTGAAATATTGTTATGATAAAACCTTCAAAAACTAATCAAGGCTAATTGGGCAGTGAATACTTTAATAAAAGAAGAATGGCTATTTCAAGACCATTTGCATTTTACTTCCATCCAATTTTATCCGGAATTGCATTTATTATAATTATTAGGTAAATGCTTATCTATATAATTTAGTAATCTACATTTAATCATTGAATCAACAGATGAGTATGGATATAAAAACTATTCTTAAAATATTTGATTAAATTGATGCCACGAACTTTGAACCATGCATTTGTTTATTTAAAATGTTTCTTTTGTACCATTTAGTTTATAGTAGTATGTGTTGTTAAACTTATTTATTTAATAAATACATTTTACATAGCCGCTCTTGTCATAGCTTTGTTGAGGTTATAACCCTGTTCTCTGTTAATTTCACCGTAAAGTTTAACATCGTAAACTATATAAAATAACCAGGCTATTGGTATTAATATACACCACATTCTTATATTAAAGCTGTAGCTAGTAGACTCGAAATAGACGTAGTTGAAATGAGCTACCAATTTTGAATCACAAAGTATTCAATAAATCTAACCAGAAAGTACAAATTATCGCAAACTGTAGAATCTTATATGTCAAACCTAGATGAGATGTTTACTTTTGGTAAACAAAGTTAAATATTGGTGCTCCTAAAACAAATAGGGGGTTTGTCATATAAGATTAAAATATGACCCACCTCGCCTTATTTCGGAAATACACAAATTAAGAGAGTTCTAAAAATGATATTGATACATTCACATAATAGTAATCAATTTACTGAAAATGTTTTCTAATAATTAACATTATTGAATTTTTTATAACATCTAAAGCGCACCGAGCTTACATGGCAAGGTAACGTAACGTAAACGCGTTAGGTCTTAAAGTAGCTATCTATTGACACCATCAACACTTTAAAACTGTAATGTGTTTCTCACTATCGCATGAAAATTGTTCTTGATGCGAAGCTATTGTTCTTGTCTCGCCTTTAGAGATACTGTACTCACATCTAAGTTTGCACTTCCATTACATCGTATCTTGCTGATGTTCGTTATTCGTTATAATAGCTATTTAAGCTATATTATGTATTGAGTTGCGAACTGCACTGTTATTGAGTGTGAAACCATTTACTTTAGGATGGCAACAGAGGTATTGAGCACGAAAGTATTTAGAATGAAAGCCATAAATTATATTATGTTGGTTATTTACGTTTAAATAGAGGTATTGTTATCCTCCTGTTTATTATTTGTTCATGCGGTAGTTAACTTTGCTACATCATAGCCTGCAACACTCTAGATTCTAGCACAATTGTTTTGCTTAAACTGTTGTATGGCTTTACCTATTTTATTAAAGGTGCTATCATTTATTAGTTGTTCATTGATATTTTAACATTAGGCCACTTAATAATAATTTACCCCACAATTCCCAACAGGTTATCTTCATGTTTATTTGTCTTCAGCATGTCTTATTAGGGTTTCTTCTATTCAGGTTTTCATTTGAAAGCCTAACAAGAAGGTTTTACAATATTTTAACTAAATATATTTTAGTTGTTTTGCATAAATTGTAGTATTGGCCAGATCTTTATTTTTATTTTTATTTTCTTCGGTTTATTCGTTATGTTTATACGTAGTTATTTCCCTTACAGTAAATCAAAAGCCCATAGATAACAGTGTTTCATAATATTTCACTTTTTTCACAAGGCAACCATTTAACACAGTTTATTTATTACAATAAACATTCCATTATTTATTTGACTGCATTTTTTATCCAATTGAAATCTCAATGCATCCATATATTTCAAAATTTATGTTTATCCTTTGGAAAATCATTATGGTTGGCTATTTATACTTATCTAAATCTTTACTTGTTATTCCTGTAAAACTGTTAAATAGTTGTAACATTGCTCTACTTAAAATGAAGCCACATCTATTCGATGACTTAAGTCTCAAAAGAAGTGGGTTTCATTGCTGTTTCACTCTTTTCAGTGAACCCTAACGATGCAAATATCCACCCCCTCTAACACAAACGTTAAACACACTGCGCTCTTACTATTTCTTCTATACTGTTTCTTTCACTTCACCTCACCAGCATTACATGCACATGCATATTTTTTAATTGCATTCCCTTGCAACACACTATTTTCTAATACGTTTCATTTGTCACTCCTTTATCTGTGCATGCTCCACACTATGGACAGTCTGTATCTAGGTTAAAGGAGTATATTTCAGAGTGTTAGGCTAGCTATAGCTAAGCTTTCTGTAGCCCATTGTAGTTATGCTAAGCTGTATGTTAAAGGGTGTAACCAAGCTTGTATATAGCTTTCCGTTGCCCACTGTGGCTAGACTAAGTGTTAAATGTTGTAGCTAGGTTTTATGCCAAGGGATGTTGCTAGGCTGTACGTTAACTACCGTAGCTAGGCAGTATTTTACCTACTGTAGCTAAGCTTTATGTTGTAGGGTTCAGCTAGGCTATAAACCAAAGTCTGTAGATAGGCTGTATGGTAGAAGCTATGGCTAGCTATATGTTAAAGTCTGTAGCTAGGCTGTGTGCTAGAAGCTGTAGCTAGGCTATATGTTACAGGCTGTAAGGGTGTGTAATGGAGCTCTTCTGACAGACGATAGCCCCGCCCCTTCCCCCACCACCACCTGTGAAGACGATCCCTTGCATGAGGCATGTGTAGTAAGTATGCTTCTGCTTCTAGATTGTACTATTTATTTTGTTAGCTCCCCAGTTTAAAATGACTTGCTCGGCTTTTCTCCTGCTTAAAATACTATAGCATATATGTTTATTTATTGATATCATTAAGAACCCTTTTTGTTGCAAAATGTTTCCACCACTTCCAATTGGAGGCACATTTTAAATGTTCTTTCCCACATTTTTTATTGCATACTGTGTAACAATATTTTAAATGCAATTCAATGAATTTTGCAAAAGACCCTGAATAAATTATGCTTCTAAGTTAGTATAATCACAACGATAAAAATTATTAGCAAACATTTTCTTCGTTATCCACTGTGTTGCAGTTCGTTATCCATTGTTGCAGGAGAATATAGTCCAGTCAAGGAATGAGGTGTAGAGTGCGTGAGCAGGTAACTAAGCGATTCCTTCAGAAACTTGTTCAGGGGGCTTAGGGTGTTAACATATCAAAAGTCCTGACTCCTAGGTGGTGAGCCAGGGGGTGGAGGGGGGAAAAAGGGGGGGGGAAAAGGTACGCATTTTGGGTTTTTTGATTATATCTCGAAAACTATCAACTTTTTGTATACTATAGTAAATTATAAAATTGAAGAAGATTAAATTTTCTATAAGAAAAGTATATAATGTGTTTATTTTGGTTCAACAGATTACGAGTTATAACTTATTTAATTGATATCTTATTAAAATCTTCTTCCATAAGAAATACATGTAAATTAGTATGCGAAATGGGGCGAATCCTATCCGCCCAAAGGAAATATAAATGATATTATGGAAATCTTGACAAAATTTCCAGTAATTTGACACTTAAATCATTAAAATTGATCCAAAATTAAGGCGAGGGCGAGGTAACAAAATGTCGAGTTTTGGTGTTTTTTTTATTGGAAATATAAAAAAAAAACATTAAATCATCCTATTTTTAAACGCTCACCCTAGCTTTAATTTTTGACAAAATTTCATGATTAAAGTGTCAAATTACTGGAAATTTTGTCAAGATTTCCAGAATATCAGTTATATTTTCTTTGGGCGGATAGGATTCGCCCCATTTCGCATACTAATTTACATGTATTTCTTATGGAAGGAGTATTTTAATAAGATATCAATTAAATAAGTTATAACTCGTAATCTGTTGAACCAAAATAAACACATTATATACTTTTCTTGTAGAAAATTTAATCTTCTTCAATTTTATAATTTACTATAGTATACAAAAAGTTGATAGTTTTCGAGATATAATCAAAAACCCCAAAATGCGTACCTTTCCCCCCCCCTTTTCCCCCCCTCCACCCCCTGGCTCACCACCTAGGAGTCAGGACTTTTGATATGTTAACACCCTAAGCCCCCTGAACAAGTTTCTGAAGGAATCGCTTAGTTACCTGCTCACGCACTCTACACCTACTTTTGGATCATTCATTGACTGGACTAATAGTGTCGCATCCAGTTCGTCTGAACTCCTTTTACTTTAACAATTAAGTTTAATATTGTATTTCTCACTAGGTAGGCATAGTGACGTTTTTCAAAATGATCTTATGTCGAACTACCAACGCAAAACGGAAGTCGGAAAATGAGCGACGGTAAAAAATACACCGTATGAACTATGTGAACTATTTTCCCGCCATACTACACCATTCTTTGTGATAGCTGATTTGCCCATCATAAGTCGCGCATAGTTTACATGACCTAATTAGCTGCGAAAATATATTTCTTTTTGTGTTAATACTAAATACGATTGGCTAATTTTATGCAATATGATCCCTCCGTCAATACAATAATACGTTCATTTTTATAACCATGATTCTTTTACTTATCAATTTGTCTAATGCCGATAAAGAGGTATTATTGTGTTAACATGACACGATGAAAAAGCAGCATTTTTTTAGATAATGAAAAATAGGATGTTTTAAAACACGAATTCTGTGGCTGAAAGACCATGAGGTGTCTTATATGATCACTGGGTTTAAGTAAATTTTCTTTTGGGGAACATACACTTTAAATTTTTATAACTTTAAAATTCGTCCGCTGATTTTAACAATTAAAATAGTCTTGATTGATAAATACATATCATCGTAGTCGTAAAATCGTATTGGAACTAAAACCGTTTTTGTGTGTCGCCGTGTCACATTGAATATTTAACAAAAATAGATCCCCTTTTTCGACATTTGAACAAATTGGTTAAAGATTTAGTATAAGTAAGTAATAATCTGAGTATGAATTTATTGTTGTAATTGCGTAGTAATGCATTGCTTTAACTAAAGTAAACAGCTGACTCCAGCAGCTAACTATAAAAAGTTAAAAACGAATCTTAATAAATTAATGTTGTTATATTTTTTAATAATCTATGATTTGTGTTTTCAGTTTACTAATACAAATGTAAAATAATCAAATGTCTCAGTAAACAGCTGTTTGTTGATAATGGCAAATCTGAAAACAAAATAAAAGATTTTTTGGGAATTACCTCGTACACAAACGTACAGTTTTGTTTTGTAATTTATTTGGCAAAATAATTACATGACGAGAAATATAGCTAATACCCGGACCGAAAGTGAATTTTCAACCCTCGCTCACTTTCCTCAGTTCAACTAAGACCGAACTTAAGTGTCGAAAAGAGCTTTGGTGATGCAATATTCTTCTGGTCTAGTGGCAAAATCGGCGGACGAATGTTAAAGCTATAAAAATGAATAGTTTATGAGGCCTACTCGACTCCAGCTGATTCATTGTTACCCTGGATAAAACGAGCTACTTTAGCTCCACAAGGCATGAATTGAAAACAGCCAAAATTTCTGCAGTATGACGAAATGGCTAAATTTGTACCAAGAGCGGCAATGACTGTTTGTGCTCGCAATACACAAAAGATGTGTCCTACCACCGTAATTAACCTATCATAACACACAAACTAACTATTATTTGTATATAAAACTAGCTGGCTCGACAGACGTCGTCCTGTCCTAATGTGGTTTTATGTCAAATGCTCGTTCATTTTCAAGATGAACTCGTTCGCATGGCTCAATCACGTCCTGGTTGAAGTTCGTTCGCTTTGCTCATTCACCGTTAGGTTGGAGCTCGTTAGCTGCGCTCACTTGCCTTCAGGTTAGTTCGTTTGCTACGCTAACTCACCTCCAGGTTGAAGTTTGTTCGCTACGCTCACTCACCTTTCATAAATTAAAAATATTACAGTGCTGCACCCTGTTGGTAAACCTATTAACTTTTTAATGCTATTTAACATCACAGAATCAAATTGTTTGGTTGAACCAGCTGTTAAGATTCTTTAATTCCATTTAAATATGAGTACTCATAAGGTTAACATGGGAAACTCCAGAGCCACTGGGGTGGAGCCCTTTTAACGGATCTGCACCAAACTTTACACAAACCATCCTTGAATAATGATAAATAATGCCTGAAAGTTTCATTACAATCTGTCGAGCAGTTTCGGAGTCCATAAAGGACAAACATACATACATACATTGGATTTTATATATATATAGATGTCATTTAGGTAATTTTATTTTCTTTCCAGTTGTTAACGTACCAAATCCGCGGCTTTGGTTGGCGTTGATACACCAACTGTGAAATCGAACAGAAATGAGTTGTTTTGCGTACTGCTTACAGATGTGGCAATGTGATAATTTCCATGTAGTAGTATCACAAAATGTTTTATTTATTGTTGCAACGAAATCATATTTAGCGTGTTTTCATATTTAATATCTTCGTTCACAAGTGTTCGATCAGATTGTGATGCAAAAACTACCACTGACGCAAGTTATCTGTAAACATTGAATTGTGCATGACAATCTATGCTATCAAATCGCGAAATCGGATAACTAAGTAACGGTTGAAGAGTACAAATAAATTTACTACGATAGTTGTGCTTCAAAAAACTAAACAGTTATATTTTTTCAATACACTACTATGTAACAAAGATAGTATGACAACTAAACATTGTTATTATTATTTTTTTTTTATTTAGTTAGAGGAAATGCGTAATTCATAATTCAATGTATAATAATTGTATAAAAAGACGAATGGAGAAAGAACAAAGATTTACAAACAAATTAATTGAAATAGAAATCTTACTACAGAATAAACTACTTTCTATATACCTCTCTATTTCCACTTTTTAACATAATTAAAGTAAATTTGAACAAAAATTTAAATGTAATAAATGAACTAAATATACCAACAAACGTTATGTTTGGAATAATCCGTTCTTGTTTATACTTGACCATTATAGAAAGCACAGTGAACAAACGGAACAAAGAGTGTGGTTTTCCTTGTTTGTAAATATGGCTTCCTTTGTTGAAAAGTCTATTGGAAACCCTGCTGAAGGGTTCCCTATTCAATCGCTTTGGTAGCTTACCTTTTGATAAGAAGGGCAATTTGAATAAGGTATAAAAGAAAACTCCAAAAACTCAACCTTTATCAATCCTAGTTTTACTATCAAAACAATATGTTACTAACAATGACATAATTTAAAAACAGATTTTTAAATATTTTTTACTATGAGTACAAAATATACATACAATTCGATTAATTAAAGGCAATCTGTTAACAAAATTGAATTTAATCAAACATTTTTGGTAATTATAGTATTGTGTCATAGATAACTAGAGCAAAAATTAAAATATTATTTGCACACCCTATGAAAAGCTGGCTTCGTTTAGGCTATGAAAATGAGATGTCTACTTCTGTGTTTAAACAACTAGCTATCGAATATACTGAACTAAGAAAGCTTTGCAAAGTGTTTACTGTTGAAAGAGTTGCATATCAAAATAACAAGTTGAATGATAAATTATTTCTTCACAAAGATATATTAGTTGATAACACAAAAATTGTTGGTCTAAGAGCCAAATCCTATAAAAATACAAGCGTTTACACTATTTAATATATTTTTAGGTGTTTTTGACCACTTTCTTTTTAGCATATGTGTTTCTGTTCAGGAAAAAGACGACTTGACGCGACAACGAGAATCTCAGCTTAGACAACATTCCTTCTTCCAGTTGAGAGTTCACTTGAAGCGAGGGAAAGATCTGATAGCGAGAGATAAGAGTGGTAATGATAACAGAAGCTATTAGGTATTGTGGTGTGGGGAAGTAGTTATAACGTAAGGTAACTTGAATTGTAAAGCAATTGAGATAAGATTTATAATTAGTTTTTATCACAAAAGGTTGTAGTGAAGTGGCAAAGTGGTGAAAAGATTTAGTGTATGAGGTTTTTTTACCAATAATCAAATAAAAAAGTAATAAAACTAAGGATGGAGAATATTGAGGAGTCTAAATTGAATAACGTAGGAATATAGCGTATGTAATAACAAATAAATACAACAAAATTAGGGATGTATTTAGAAGAGTGGAAAGTAGAGTTTAAAATAAAAATACTGTGGATTAATATATTAGTAAAGTAAGTTCAGAAAAATTTTAAAATCCGTCCATCTCTGTGTAGTGTATTGTCAGTAGATAAACTGTATTCATCCCATTAATTTTTCTTAATGAAAATGGAACTAGGTTGAATGAGCCGATCACAGAGTGTTAGATTGAAACTGTTATTTTATTTACTACTTAATCGTAGATCTAAAACAGTTTTACATGATCTGATCTATATCTTATAACAATGTTTCAGGCACAAGCGACCCATATGTCAAGTTCAAGGCGGGCAGTCGACTCCTGTACAAATCCAAGACCATCTACAGAGACCTCAACCCAGTGTGGGACGAGAGCTTTGTTTTACCCATTGAAGATGTGTTCAACCCAATCCAGATAAAAGTAAGCAAGCATAATGATTTTAACTTTGAAATTCATAGTCCTTCAAATATAAAAACACGGTCTGGAAATGAAGGGATTCATCGTCTCGCAAAACCAATCTCAAGTGAAACTGGATTGGACATGTTCAGTTCTGTTGGTTTAAGATTTAAATCTTTCATTAGGTTGACTCGTATTTTAGATAGCTTGATAATTTTCCCTTGTTCATACATAGCTGAATCAATAACATTAACAAATTCGTTTGAGAAAAAGTCTGTATTGACGAATACCGACAGTCTTAATAAGTTTAACATAAAGCAATTTAATACAATGTTCAAGCTTCAATATCTTGTATTCCATTCTTTCACCACTCTTAAGTAGATATTTGTTCCGATTCTGATATGCAAAACCGAAAATATTTCAACTTTGACGTAAATTGTTATGTATACCACAATTTAGTTTGTTTTGTCTACAGGTGTTTGATTATGATTGGGGTCTCCAAGATGACTTTATGGGCACAGCCTATCTGGACTTGACCAAATATGAATTCGGAAAGTAAGTAAACCTTAGTCTCTTATACTATCTCTAGTGAAAAATATGTTGTTTTCCTACATGTATTATATACAAATAAATAAATTCATAATCAGTAGAGAAAAGAGTGAACAAAGTCATAATGAATATTTGACTCATTCAATATTTATAGTACTCTTATAATACCTTATTCGATATTTCGAGATAGTATTATCTATACATGTATTTTGAATGCTAGTCCCAGCTACATAGGTGCTAGCTGTATTACTTTGTAATTAAAATACACTCTCCTGGTTTAATCAATCGTCACTTAATTTACTAAATAAAGGTAATTTTTTTACCTTATCCTTCGTCTGAAACCTAAATTAACCTTCATTTTGTTTGAAAACTCTTCTAAATCATTAATTATGCTAATACTAGTTTGTTCAGTAATGTCTTAAGTGACTGTACTCAACTCGAACTAAAGTTTATCAAGGCCGAAAATACACTTAGGGTCAAAAGGCTCATGTGATGAAAATACCTTAACATAACGTTCAATATTTCACCTAGGTTTTCTGTTACAGGCCCACTGACGTCATCCTCTCACTCAAGGACACTGGCAAGTCTGAGTATCTCGGGGAGGTCCACCTGACATGCACTCTCTGGCCAAAGTCTCAGGAGGACAAAGAACAGGTAACAGTGAGTTCTCCTTAGCTTTGTAGCATAAAATCATCTAGATGTAACCATGGTCGGTAAATGAAAAATAGGGAGACATTTTGTAAGCTTTTAAACACCTTCCTCAGATTTGAAAACAAAGTTATCAATACTAGTTTACAATTTTATCTTATAATTTTACATAACATTTATCAAACTGCATATACAAACTAAAGGTAGAGATAAACAGGTTATAAATCTAGGGTTTGGAAATAGTGATTAGATTTTTAGCTTAAAAATTGACATGGTTTGTGTGACTCTTAGATAATCGTCTCAAAATGTTTACCAAACCTCATTATAATTTAGAATAAAGTACAGGTCTTCAGCCTTAACATTATAGCTCACAAAAATGCTTGGTACACGAGTTTTCCTAAACGTAATATAAATGACATGTGTTAAATATATAATATATAATATAATGTATATATATATATATATATATATATATATATATGTGATATATATATATATATATATAATGACATATGTTTGGAAATACTTCTTAACTATAAAACCCATTATATATATATATATATATATATATATATGTTTGTTGGATGTATACCTTCTTAGAGAATTTTCTAAGAAGGTTTATTATAGAAAATGATTCAGAACAGTTAGGTTACTGCATAGAAACTTTGGATTTTAACTTTCAAAGAGAATTTATCCCCAATAGGATTTATGAAACTAAATCAAAACATAGGACAAATAAATATGATTAAATAAAGAACGTATAGGTTACATAAACATAAGCACTGGGAATCACCCTTTGCGTTGTAGCACAAAAGGACATATTAGATGCAGCCTCTAGAGGCTCCTCAAAGAATATTTACTTAACGACATCACCATGGGAAAACCCGGTACAAAGTGAAACACAGAGCATTGTAAATAATCTTTTCTTTGTAAACATATTATCACATTAGATTTAAATATCTCAGCTGTCCAAAACGTTTATCATGTGGTCAAACATTTACTATAAGTTAAGGTCATTCAATAAAATATTTTTCAGGTACAGTATTATTACTTTAAAAATAATTATTTTTTTCATTGTCATAAGCCTGTGATAACATGAGAGAATGCACCTAACCGTAATACAATTCAGCAACAGAATAGTTGCTAAACATAGGAATATACAGACATATCTTTATGCTGTCTTACCCGTACATTTATGTCGGTAAACTAGTTTTGTGTTCAATCATAGAATGATGATAGCCAATGGTTCAAGTCATCAACCGTCGGTAGAGCAGTTTTGCTACTGCATTACCGACGTTTTGTAACTGTTGCCAGATCTGCCGCTAGAGTTTAGCATCTGCCTTGGTCTTTGTTGTTCCAAAGGTCGATACCTAACCTATATGTAGTTCCAACTCTAAATTGGTGGACATGGGAAACAAGACTTACCTTAAACTTTGTTGTTAGTTGATTGGCCTCGAGTAAAAGGATAATTAACAACAGTTTTTCTTTTCATCTGACAAGGCTATTGGTGTTGTCTTTTACATTTTAAAACGAACATTTATACGGTATTAATTCACTTACAATGTATAACTAAATTTATAGGTATAGGCCTATAGGCCTATCTCTGATGTATGAGACTAGTTGAAATCATACGGCACCTCGTAAATTTATTGTTTAGTATGAACAGTTTTATATAAGCCACAACAACACAATTATTAACTGAGCTACAGAACTTTATAATATCTAGCCAAAGTGAAAAATGTGCAGTAAAAAGTAATCGCAAACAGCGTAATTAAAAATGAATTACAGTAAGCAAGTTATGAAATGAATAACAGAAAATAGATTAGCTTGTTAAAAAAACATTTTTTATTACCAAAAAACTCAAACGTGTTTTATTGAGCCTGTGTCCCAAGAGGAATATAATATATGGATTTTTTTTGCTTATTTTTTACTGTTAAGTATTTTTTTGATATTTATTTTTTATTTTTTTTATCAATAGGCCTATGTATAGTAACACTATACAAAAATTTGACCAAGAGTTTCGAATCGAACTAGGTTATTTTATTAACCTAAATAAAATGCCCTTAAGTCAACTTTCATATGTTAGTTTATTCAGAAACAGTTTCATAATGCAGTTTACGTAGAACTAACATTGTGCCTGCAATAGTCACATTGTAACCCAATATCTAGTCCAAAGTTTCTTTAGTGAAATATTTAGAATTTTTCATCCGTTTATTTTAGGCGTGCTGGTTTTTGTAAATTTGAATTCAAGACTCAGGGTGTGAACTATTTCCCTTGTATAACGGTAATGCATAATATTAGTTACAATTTTACTGCTCTGCATGTCCAGACCAAAAACTTAAATAATTAAACCAACATATTTGAATGAATTGTTTTTTATAAATGTTCAATCTTTTGATCCACAACTAATGAGTTTCTTCAGATATCAGTGTGAACTTGAAACTGCAATATTGTAAACTAGTTGTATAGATAAACAATGGCGTATGGAGTTCTTATCTTAACCGTTAAATGATGGAATTTAAAACGGTATAGACTTTTTAAATACATAACATTCTGTAAAATAGATATTTCATCCTCGCTTCAAAGACGTGGCAAGTTTTGTTCAGAAAGACATACGATAGACAGTTGCCAATACATGTGATCCCTAGTTATTTGGACATGCTTTTGGGTTGGTAAAAAGCTACTGTGGTTATTGGAGTCGAGAGAGACATTCGCTTTAGATAGACTCTACTGACTCTAGAATTCTGACGGAAAGGTTTTACATGATAAAACATTGTGAAAGTATTTCATCTACAATAGGTATTTAGGCTATTGTAATGATACAAAAGTATGTGACATTAAACCCCTGTCTAGTGTATTGTGTCCAAAAATGTTGAATGGTGACGAAGCAGCAATTAAACCAACGTTGTAATAGCACAGCACAGCACAGACTGGTATTCTATAGTCTATGGTAATAGTGCCTGCTCATATGACTGTAAAACTCTTTCAATTAATGACATTGCTAATCATTCAAATCACTACATAGCATTTATATAGTTGTTTATATAACCAACAGGAATGTTTGATTAAATATTATTGAATCCCATATTTTACACATGCATCCATTTTGATTGTCGGGAAGTGTAAATATTTCTAACTAACATTTTTACACCTACCTTCCAGCCTTTAGATGAATTGCATTTTCAAACGATTAAAATGTATTGGAGAACAGGAAAGTACTTATCCATGCATTCATTCACCATGGTACACTTCCACAAACAGTTGTCAATGTTTACCACAACCAGTGTTGCCAATAGTGAAATTTCCCTGCGTTGGAAACTAGTAAATATTTACTAATTTAATTACATTTATAGTTTTTATGTGCATAAGTTAAACATTTAAATTTTAACTTTTTTTATCTTACTATACGATTAAAGCTTTCTTTTTAAGCTTTCACCAACAAAAAAGTAGTTTTTTCCTTCATAACTAGGATACATACAGATAAAAAACTTCCTATCAAATATAGAAGAGACTAAACGTATTTTATTGGTTTGGTTTATTCTAATTTGTTTGTCTGCAGCTACTCTTTTGTCTACAATTTCACTGGCTAAAAGAGACTAGAGTAATTTACAAAGGTTGTAAGCCACTTCAGTTACGATACATTATGCAAGGTTTTTATCAGCTTCTCAATATAATTTCAATATGCGGGTCATAAGTTAAGATAATGGTGTTGTTAATTGGAGAATTTAATAACCACAACTCGAGACAGATAAACCTCGCCGCTGTTTTGCAGGTTTGCATTGCAATGACGCTCGTTATCAGTTACGGAATGTTAACTCACAGTTCAAAGATGAATTTAGCTGTGTTACTGTTGTTGTTAGCTGTGTTTAGTGTGTTATGATTATATTGAGGCTCGCACAAGAGGAGCGTATTTTGTAGTTTATCCTCATACTAACGCAAGAAATAAGCATTTTGTCAATTCACTTAGGAATCAGTTTCTGGGCCTTTGAAGTGCAGTGAGACTTGCAACGTAATGTAGCTGTTCCTGCAATTGTAAGGTCAAGACTGTACTGCTTAATTGTCACGTTAACTTATAGACTCCCACAAATCATAATTTTATCTATTGAGTCTGGAAATAAATTTCAGGGAATTGTTATAAACAAACACGTATTATTTTAAAACGTTTTTATTAGCTCGCTTTCTTGTCCGGTACAAATTTTGCAATCAATTTTATACTAACTTCCCGATGAGCTAGAGACTTGAAACTTGAAACATGGCTCACAAATGGAAGACGATGCAATCTATATATTAATTTGAAACTGTTTTTCTTTGTGACAGCTATTTTGAGAGAACGGCTGGGCGTAGAAACTCGGTAGAGGTGTCTAAAGAAAGGTCCTGGTCTGTAGATGAGCCATCAAAAGAGAAACATGGAGAATTCCCTCGGGGCTCTGCCCCAGTGGCCTTTAAATTCCCATCCAATGTTATTCTTATGGATGAAAACGAGGTTTTTGTCACAGCTAATTTGAGAGAACGGCTGGGCGTAGAAACTTGGTAGGGGTGTCTAAAGAAAGGTATTGTTCTGTAGGTGAGCCCTCAAAAGAGAAACGATGTAAATTTCCTTGGGGCTCTGCCCCAGAGGCCTTTAAAGTTCACTCTGCAATTTTGTTTACATTTCGACCATATGGATAATTTTACACTACTTTTAATGAACCAGCTGTCAATATTTAAATTGTATTCAAAGGTCTACTGAAACTGTCAAAATTAAATGTTTACATTACTATTTATGATTTTAAATGGATTCTCCACTGCATGGCAAGTTTTTTATAGTTTCAACAAAATGATGAATTCATGATACGTTTGAAATGTTTTGTTCAAAAATCTATGCTTTATTGATCTTAGAAAATTTTAAATTATAAAATAAGTGTGACTTATCAATTTCAAAGGAACATATAACTATTCCTTATCGGGTTAGCTTATACATATTGTAAGGTTGGCACTTGCCTATTTTTCCTACTTTCAATCACCAT